TATCATCTCAAGAACAAATTCTCCATGGGCATGCAAAGCGTTCTACGTCAATAATCGTGCAGAACAAGCAAGAGGAAAACTCAGATTAGTTATTGACTACAAGCCGTTGAACCAATATCTGCAAGACGTCAAGTTTCCACTACCAAATAAAAGAGCGCTTCTCCAACATCTCCAAGGTGCAAAAATATTTTCGAAGTTTGATCTGAAGTCAGGATTTTGGCAACTCGGCGTCCATCCTGAAGAAAGATACAAAACTGCGTTTTGCCTCCCAAATAGACACCTTCAATGGAATGTCTTACCCTTTGGTCTCAAGACGGCGCCATCGCTATTTCAACAAGCAATGTTACGTATATTCGAGCCGTTGTTACACACAGCTCTTATATATATTGATGACATACTCATCTTCTCGAAGAATGAAGAAGAGCATATTCAGGCGCTACAACAGTTTCAAGACACCGTCAAGAAAAACGGAATCATGCTATCAGCCAGAAAGATGATAATAGCCCAGCCCAACATTGATTTTCTTGGCATGCATATCAAAGAAGGAAGTTTCATACCACAGGCCCATTTAGCTACAGAACTTCTAGATTTTCCCGATGAAAATCTTACAAGGCGACAAATTCAACAATTTCTTGGAGTAATCAATTATGTGGGAGACTTCATTCCACACCTTTCCAGAATGACAAGACCTCTACAGAAGATGTTGTCGAAAAACCCTCCTTTATGGGCATCACGACAAACTGAAGCTATCAAAAGTCTAAAAGCAGAAGTGCAAAAGCTACCCCCTTTAAAGATTCCCTCCTCAGGCATGCGTATTCTACAGACAGACGCTAGCGATAAGTATTGGGGAGCAATACTGTTTGAAGAGATGGATGGGAAAAGACAAATCTGTGGATACAAGAGTGGTCGTTTCAAAGATTCAGAGCAACATTATCACTCAACGTTCAAGGAGATTTTAGCGGTCAAAAAAGCTATCGAGAGGTTTGAATTTCATCTAATAGGACACAAATTTCGCATTGAAATGGATATGTCTTCGTTTCCCAAGATGTTACAGTTCAAGCAGAAGATGGTCCCACATCAGCAGCTGCTAAGATGGAGTGAATGGTTCTCAAAGTACGATTTCGAGTCAGTCTATTTAAAGGGCACCAAGAACACTTTGGCGGATATGTTAAGTCGAAAACCAGTAAAACAGGAAACGCCCGACGAGATACACATGATGGCCAGTTCCTCCGAATCCAAGAAAAGCTACTATGACTTTGAAGCAGACGTACCCGAAGATGTTCATCAACTCATCAGCAGAAACAAGCTTCATGAGCTACTACGCACAAAGATCTTTTCACATCAATCTACCATCCTGTCGAACTATGGAGTAAACTGTCATCATATTGCTCCAATGGGAATTCATCCTGACTATCCGTTTGCACATCTCTACAGGATCGAAAATTCAAAAATGCCAGAAGAAGTTCTCTGTTTCCTCTGGTATCTCTGTGCCGTCTACACTGTAGGAATTGCTTTCGACATCCAATGGCTGTACCATTACGTCAACACTGTTCAAGACAAAAGAGACAGCTTCTCAACATTCCTAAGGTGGTTTTCACCATTGACTGTCTGGAGTGGAAAACTACGAAAATCTGCAAATGCGACGAATCTAACATTCAAGAAGCTGAAGAGAGGTGGACTCAACCCATTCTTCAATCCACATTCAATCTACTTCTTTCATCGTCCCGTTAAGATCAACCGCAAAACAAGCAAAATCCTCGCTCTTCCAACTCTTATTCATCACGGTGATTTTTCAAGAGGAGTTCGTCCAGATTTCAACCTTCAAGATAACGAAGCATACGAGAACTTTCAAACTCATGCGTTTCACCTCAACAATGCAAGACAAACGTTCCCAATTCCGTTCATACCCAACTGGGTTTATTATCCGGTCGACTATCAAATGCAACTTGATGAAGACTTACAGTATTACATGATGAAGTTCAACAAAGGAAGACCAAGCAGTCCAAAAGAAGATAAACAAGAAGAGACAACTCCCCAGGTGACTTCTCAAGATTACTGTGCCGATTACTTCAAAGACGCTCAATCCCCAGATGATGAAGTAAATGTTGAAGATATCGAAGAGAAGTTCAAACTCTACATAAATGTTCAACCAGGAGAAGATGCACGAATGATTGAAGACTCGTATGAATGTCCAGATGATCATTATGGATGCTGCGAAGAACATATGCTGGAGTTCCACATGGATCATTAAAACGGTATGAAAATTATAAAATATAAAATATAGTATGATATGTTTAAAATCATGTAAAATAAATAATGATGTAAGCGATGATGTAATCGCTGATGTAATGATTATGTAAGAAATGATGTAAGCGATGATGTATCGCTGAGGTAAGCGCTTATGTCAGCGCCTTAAAACCTCCTATAAATAAGTGTGTAACCCTTGTAAGAAAACACAACTTCAAATATCATAAAATTTCATAATAAGCTTTCTCTCTCTACAATGTTTCTCTAACTTCTCTCTAAGTTTTCCAGACTTCCTAACTTCTTCATAAACCTTGTTTCTTTCTATTCTAAACACAGTCGCGATTCTGTATTGTTCTCTTAAGGTTAGCATAAGTGGTCCGTCAATACGACGGTCGAACACGGCAGTCAATAGTACTCGCCGGGGTTCACAGTTCCTAATAGTAGGTTGAGCAATACAGATGGCAATGAGGCCCGAACCGCTCCCTTTACCTGGAATATGAACCCTTGCTTGTAAACACGACTCGTCGTGCTAGACTTAGTCAACACGACCCTCCGCTCGTGCTAGCTTTAAGATTATGGTATCAGAGCCAAGGCTAGCTTTAAGATCATGCAAAAGTCTAAAAAGCAAATGCAAGATGTGATCTACAAATTATTAGATAACATGTTGCCTTAGGCGGTTGCCTTTTTTCTAAAGGAGTAGGCATGACACTGCAGTTGTACCAAGGATCAGACCATTTTATATGGTTTTTTTTTTTTTCAAATATCACTCAAACTGATGATTTTAAAACTTTTGCATGAAAATCGTTACCAATTGAGTTATCAACACTTCCTAAAATTTCGTAAATATTGCTTAAATAATTTCTAGTAACGACATGTATTAGATTTTGATAGAATCAGGGGGTCGTGCACTATGGAAAGATGGACATGTGTGAAGTAAGGGATGGCGATAAGTATTCCAAATAATCAAAAAAATAATGTAAGGTATAATTGTTTTAGTTGAGATTCTTAGCATATGTAGACAATACCAAAAAAAAAAAAATCATATACTTGTGTTTATCGAAAGATTAGTGACAAAATTTTCGCTAGCTTTTTTCGTAAATGGTAGATGAAAAACATATTATAAGTTTTGGCTAATCATTTACTTGCTCATTACTAAATCCGTAACGAAAAAAACTCATTGTTAAACTGCATGTTTGTTTAAGTGTGATAATAGTCTAAAATTCTAAATAATATGGTTCAAATTTTAAAACCAACATTAGCTTCCATTGGTGAATGTAAATATGTAGCTGACATCGAAGAATAAACCATATATGCATATGCATATGTCATCTACTCATCCACACATATATTCGTGTCGAAGACGTTACAATATTTCGAAGAAAAAATCATTGAAAATGCGAGAAATATTCAAACGGATATGAATATTGGTTTGTGATTATAGGTTTATAATAAGATCTCTCCCCAACGTTGCTTCCTTGTTAAGTGTGATAATAGTTGTGTATTTGTAAGTGTATTCCTCTCTGACTTTAGCAAACAAACTTAGTTTCATGTCAATTTTATTCGTTTTCGTTTTGAAGTGGGTTAAATTTCGAATTGGAAAAACTTTGATGCATATGTGTGGGTTAAATCTAGTCTATTGATTTTGGTCTCGTTTCGAATATAGGTTTTAATACAATAACTTTTATATTGTGAATGAAACTTAGATTCATGTCAATTAATTGGTTTCCATTTTGAATTGGGTTCGATTTGAATTGGAAAAACTTTGATGCATATGTGGGTTGAATCTAGTTTATATTTTGGTCTGGTTCAAAATCAGTTATATTTGATGATATAAGTTAATTATCAATGTTTTTTTTGCTGTATGTATATCAACATAGGATATTTTTTCTAATTAACAACATCTTTAGGATATTTATCCTAATTAACAATTTCTTTTGAAAATAAATTGTTTTATTTTTATATACATCGAATCATATATGCATACATCGTCACCCATATATTCATGCCGTTGACGTTACATAATCTTTCGCGGTAAAAATTGTTTAGAACGCGCAAAAATTGATATATAAATATTTATAGAATTATTACCATGTGTTGGAGAATAGGCATAGCAACATGTTACCTGAATTTCGAAATTCATAGTAAGATTTTATGTTCGCTAATGAATATCATATACTATTGATAATAAAGACATTTAAGCTTTTAGAAGCTACATAAGCATAGTTGCATACATCATCATTATACGCATATGCTTCACTAATTCCACATTTTAAAACAAATTTAAACTCGTGATTCAACTAAAGATGTAATGACTTTCAAATATGTAAAATGATTCCAACGCATGATTCTTTGGTTATCTTAGTTAAGACTCTCTTAAAAAGATACACATCACACATGCAACAAGTTGTGTGGCACCACACACAAGAAGATGGTCATCTTTGGTCGGATTCAACAAAACAATTTTCCACCTTAAAATCATCCGATTTCAACAAATCTTAGTTCATTACACTCCTTGATTAGTCTAGTTTCCAACGAACATAACCATCCAAAAATCCCCCACAAGCATTCTCTAAAAAACCAAAAACACCGTAATACTATCAAAACAAACCATAGTTTTGACCAACCTTGCTTCATTCCTGATTTTCTCATCCTACACAAAACCATTTCAATCGCTTAAACACTCAAACAAAACCTTAAAGAATTATCTACAAAACGAAAAAAACAAAATAAAAATTCATAAAGTAAAAAAAAAGTTACGATAAAATCAATCGAAGCAAAAAGCACACCAACACAACAATACACAAAAGCACCTATCCACATCCATTAACCTCCTCATCCTTACATTCGTAATCCTTAATTATAAACCGTCGATAGATTTAAATCTAACGGTTGAAATTCAAACCTGAGTTGATACACCGATCCGAGTACTCATCATTTTAACCAATCAGAGAAGAGATTACAAACTCTGTCTCATAACACATCTGACTATATATATAAACATCATTCCCGTAGTTGTCGTCGTCCTCAACACACAATTCTCCGACGACACATTACAGTTTCTTCCGATCAAATCAAGAGATCAGTTTAAAGAGAGAAAATATGTCAACAGAAGAAGAAAACGTTCCAACGACTGTTGAATCAGGAGCTGCTGATACAACGGTGAAAGCTCCGGAGAAGAAACCGGCGGCGAAAGGTGGTAAATCTAAGAAAACGACGACGAAGAAGCCTGTTAAAGCTGCTGCTCCAACGAAGAAGAAAACTTCTTCTTCTCACCCTCCCTATGAAGAGGTCAAGATTCGATCTAATTTTTTTTTTTTTTTCAATTTTTTTAGATTCATAGATTTGGAATTTGAATTTCGTTTGTTTGAATTCGATGCAGATGATTAAGGACGCTATAGTAACGTTGAAGGAGAGAACTGGATCTAGTCAATACGCGATTCAGAAATTCATAGAGGAGAAACATAAATCTCTTCCTCCCAATTTTAGGAAGATTTTACTTGTGAATCTCAAGAGACTTGTTGCTTCTGAGAAATTGGTTAAAGTCAAAGCTTCTTTCAAGATTCCTTCTGCTAAATCCGCTACTACACCTAAACCGGCTCCGGTTAATAAGAAGGCAACTGTAGTAGCTAAACCTAAGGGTAAGGTTGCTGCTCCTGTAAAAGCTAAAGCGGCGGCTAAAGGAACTAAGACTAAAGCTGTTGCTAAGCCTAAGGTTACTACTGCTAAACCTAAGGCTAAGGTTACTACTGCTAAACCTAAGTCTAAGTCTGTTGCTGCTGTTTCAAAGACTAAAGCTGTTGCTGCTAAGCCTAAGGCTAAGGAGAGACCAGCTAAAGCTTCTAGGACTTCGACTAGAACATCTCCTGGGAAAAAGGTTGCTGCTCCTGTTAAGAAAGCGGTTGCTGTGACGAAGAAGGCGCCGGCTAAGAGTGTGAAGGCGAAGTCTCCGGCGAAGAGAGCTTCGACTAGGAAGACGAAGAAGTGAGGAAGATGGGTTTAGGATAGGTTTGGGGGGGAGATTGAATACATGGTGGTGGTTAGCTTCTATAGGGTAGTCTTGTATAATTGAATCATCCTTGAAGGAGCTTGCTTTCCAAAGTTTTTTTCTTTTTACTTTCTTGTTTCTTGGTTTCTTGTTGAAACTCTTTTTTTTTTGTCTTGTAATTTTTGGTTTGTTTGAATTTTAAGCTTTTAATCAATAGCTATAATGTGATGGTATTGGTCTCTTCACTCTTTACTTGTTTAGAAACTGTTAAAGAAGATTTACATTTCAAGCAATGACATTGAGAGAGAGAGATGTTTCTGTTTGGTTAGTGTTAGTCTAGTTCTGTCTTAATTGGTTCTTGAATGATTCTTAAGTAATGTATCAGTGTCTTAAGGGTAGTGTAGATAGGACATTGTGGTTTCTTCAGCTGTGGTTTGAAGGAACTGGTCTTAAGACCAAGCTTGACAATGTTAAGGTAATATTTATATGTCTTCCTCTGAATCATGTCATACATTTGCTTCCTTAGCTTATGCGTTTTAGGACTTGAGGAGTTACATAAATGAATGACATACCGGGAAAAAAAGCTAAGAGATCTTCTGCGTTTATCTATCTTCGTCTCTCAATCTTGGTGTTTCTTGGAGATACTGTTTGAATCTTTCGACTTTCTGAATTGAGTATTTGAGCTCCTGTTGAATGTTGAATCTTGAAGGAGAAAGAACAATGTCTTTCCATATTGATCCAGCTTCACAAGCAGGATTTGGATTTCTGTATAGCTCGTAGATAGAATCCGCATTCTCGTTTAACCTCCCTACATTCTTCAAACAGTCTATCTCCTCTGGATCCACTAGCAATGTCTTTTCCTTTTCTTTCCACCCTATCAGCTGCACATTGCACCACATATTATAACTTGCATAGTTTTTTGCATCTTATAGGCGGAAGAGTAGAAGAAACACAGGTTTAACCTTTGGAGAACCTTCAAGAGCATTGGTGCAGTAAAGTCTAGCATTGTCAACTAAGTTGCAATAGGTAAGAAACGCATCAGCAAACCTCTTGTGAGATCTCAGCTGAGATCTCACTCTAACTGCTCTTCTACACATTATTGCTCTCCTGCATATATGGTAAACCAAAACCTTATGTTAAGAAAATAATGAGTAGAAGAGCAGTTAGTTGGAACATTTCTCACCTAATGCCTCGAATCACTGCTAAATATGCATCACACACAACTCCAACTAACTCTATCCTGTATGGCTTTCTCTCCCTTCCATCATCTTGTAGTTGTTGTCTTTCGCCTATGCGTTCCCAATAGTTCTCTATGACATCTCCATTCTCACCAACCTTGTAGCCAGCTCCCATTCTGTAACGATGGCGATGCACATTCCTTGCCATGGTTATGGTCTGAACCACAAATGGAACCCAAGAGAGTGTTCCATCCATTATCACGTCCCGCCCTTCGTTGAGAGCTGTAACGAGCAGCGATGATGCTGCATCTGTTGATGATTGGTGAACCTGTTTTATTTCCATTTCACCGTTCACAACATGTCGTTGAATATTGAGTATAACAAAGGTAATATGCAGTATAATGATAGAGACTTTAAGAATTTGGTATTTGCTACTTTTCTAATGTACATTTCCATATCCGTGAGAGTTACTTAAACTTGAGTTGATTCCTTGCACATTTTGTCGCGCTGCAGGTTCTTTTTACATTAAGGATTCTTATTGCACCTATAAGGAAACAAAGAACCTTACGAATTCAGCAGTCTTGATCATATCAACATGGCCTCTGGAGCTTAAAGCTCTGTATATCACATCAGATTCTTTGAAAGCATCAGCTTCGATCACCACAGCATCAGCTCCTGCCCAAAACGGTCTGATCCAAAGCACACAAAAGCATGTACAGGTCAATGACAGATATGTTGATATAGATCTTAAGTGAATTTATATTGATACTTACTCTTTGAGAATGTCTTTAAGCACAGTGCTCTTCCCTGCACCCATACCACCTCCCATAAGGAGTAAAACCGGGCTTCGGTCCTTGTGTGCAACTGGAGCCATAACTTCTGTACACTCAGAGTCATCAACAGATGCAATCCCCATTGCTTTCATTTCCTCTACCAATGTGTTAAAGACTCTTGCCACTTTTAGATTTTTAGTCACCCTCTCAAATCTCTGTTCCCTATATACCAACCAATGAACAAACAATCATTTGGGAAGAATAACTAAAGAGAACACAATTTGGATTGTTTTTTGTGTTTAAGACTCACCTTGTAGCCGCCATAACAATGTGCTTTAGCTTCTTCTTAGGCTCTACATCGGCGCTGAGTATCTAAAACAAATCCATGAAAATGTTTTCGGTCTATTAGTTATGATGTTAACAAAGAAAGGATAATGAAAGTTTATCTTTTGGTTTTTCTGCAGAAACCTGACTGATCATGAGATCCGCATGGCTCCAGTGGTAAGCAAAGTAACTGAGAATACATCTCTCAAACTCTTCGACGAGCTTAATGAAGAGAGAATCAGCACCAGGCTCTTCTGAGAAAAAGCTGTAAATGTCTTCCTCACAGCTACCTGATTTTCTTATGTACTCATTAGCTAATTTGCAGAGATGAGGACATTCTCTCCTGTCCTTGAATCCCATTTGCCGCACTACAAAAAACACAAACAACATTTCCTAAAAATGTATCACAATCTATGATCATCAAGATTTCAAAGAGGCTATGTAGATTGATTTTACCAACATAGTGAGAGAATCTCTCAAGCTTCTCATGGCCTTTGTGTTTGTGAGACGATCTAAGACGAGGGATGTTCTTGGAGTGACGTAGCTTCCTGAGACGGAAGTGCAGTGCAAGGGCTAAGAGCAAGCCAATGGATGAGATTACCAAAATCTGTGTGAAGGTCGTTGTGTTGTTGTTGTTGCTACTAAACTCTGGAACACACATTGATCTGGATTTGCTTTGGGGATCATCAAGAGACATGAGATTGATTGTTAGAACTCTAAGATTGGGTCCATTCTTGAGTTTGTTTTTCTGTTACGAGACCATGTATCTGCTTTCTCCACGTGTGCTGTACTAAAATAGCTTTGAGTCCTATTACTCCGGAAGTTTGTGATTTGACTGACAATTTTGTTTTTTATAGCCAAAATCTCAATCCCTATGTATGAGTTTTGGCAAAGGTTTTATAAAATCTATCCGTTAAGGATATAAGTCTATAACATAAGAAGAAACTGTCATTGGATATCTGAAAATCTAAGATATTGGAAAAATGAGTTACAGAGAAAGGCTTTGAAAAGAATGTTCTAAACCTAAGTAAAAAAATAACTAAATTCAGATCAGAGAAGAAGTAAAGAATCTAAAGAGAGATGGCAGAGGCTTTTTATATAGGAGCTGTGCAAGTTGTTCTGAAATGGCCAGCCTGATTACACCGGCTACATCGAACAACCCGCTTTTGACGTCCACGGTCCTCTCCTTGACTTCTCCTCTTCCTTGGCCGTGGTGGTTGTCTTAACACGCTCGGTGGTCTGATAACAATCTCTTCACCATCCTCACCACTTTTTCTGTCAGGTTCTGTTGTTTTCCACTCGGTTTTGTCTGGAACTGGATGTATGGTTTCTGCGTAAGTTCGCCGGTAATTTGCCACCGTGAAGTAACTCTCTGTGAACCGGTATACGTTTTGTCCGCAAAAGAAGAGGGCTGCAACTGCGTGACTACAAGGCAAACCATATAACTCCCATCCACGGCACATACAAGTACGGCATCTAATATCCACTATCCATTGTTCTTCACTGGTCATGACCTCGAATTGTGCTTCGTTTGCTTTGTGAACTTGGTACAAACGAGATTCTTCTATAGCCTCAAGGACATGTCTCTCAGCAGATGGAACTAGCATAGTAGACCATTGCATGCTTGTTTCACGGCGTTCATTGAACAGAGTCATCAGTTGGCGACGAATACTCTCCATCATTTGGATTATAGGAAGACCTGAGGCATCTTGAATCCAACTGTTAAGTGACTCGGAAACATTTGCTGTCAGATGTCCAAACCTTGTTCCTTCAAAGCAGTATGTGGCCCATCGACTGTGCTGGCTATTACGGATCCACAAGGCAGCTTCTGGGGATATCTGGGCGATCTCATCGATTTTTCCTTCAAATTCATACTCGGTGAGACATTTTGCTGCTTCCCAAAAAAGGTTCACAAGAATGGAGTTGTTGAACTGACTACGGAAGCTTTCTGTGAGACCATGGACACACAAGCCATGAAACGCCGTTGGAAAATTAGTATCTACTCCATCAACAATGGATTGATCTCTACTAGATAAAATTGTCAGCTTTGGCATGTTTTCGGAATTAACTTCAAGCAGCTGGCGCAACTCTGAGAGGAACCACTGCCAGCTACTATCATTCTCTTCACTAATAAGAGCAAAAGCCAAAGGAAACACCGCGCCGTCTCCATCAAACCCAGTGGCAAGCAGCAATGTCCCTACATATTTGCTCTTCAAAACAGTCCTATCCAATCCAATGAGAGGTCGACAAGCATTAAGAAATCCACAGATTGATGCTTGAAAAGAAATAAATAATTGTTGAAAGCTCTCATCAACCGGGCTTCCATGAACCACAGCGACGCTCCCAGGATTTGTGCTCTTAATTTGGTCACAATATCGAGGAAGAAGGCGATAATCTTCTTCATATGACCCGCGAACAGCAGCCATTATACGTTCTTTTCCCCTCCATGCTTGCTTGTATGATAGTGTAATTCCATGAACTTGATGAATTTCCTCCAGTATCTCCTTAGGTTTGCAATGAGGATTTACTTTCAGCCTTTCTGTCACAGCCTCAGCAACCCACTGAACTGAAGCTTGATGGTGACCAAGGTGTGAAATACCACCACAAGTGTGACTCCCATGAATAGTCCTTATTGTAAAGGTTGGTACACCAGGAAGCTTGGCACAGTGAATCCTCCAAGGGCAACCCTCAATATTGCACTTGGCAGTGAAGCGAGTTTTGTCAGATTTAACAGTCTGCATCTCAAACCGTAAGGCAATTGCTGCATCTCTGAGTGCTCTCCTACACGCAAGAACATCCGAAAATTCCATACCAACAACCAAATTGTGCTCAGGAGCTGTTTGCAGAGACCGGCACTGAATGATAGGAGGAGCCAACTCTATCTGCTGAGAAAGGCTTATGTTGAGGCCAGGTATGGGAATGGGATCCCTATTCATGCAATGACCCACCGCTAACTGCAAATTATCATTGAGATCCTGAGAAACTATTAAAGCTAGTTTATCATTCTCTGAAGATTCTGAGTCATCATTATCAGGAAAGGAGAGGTCAAAAGTATGGTCATAGCTTTCATTTTGGTTTTCCTGAGAATCAACCTCATCTTTTCCTTCCAAATCTTGTTCTCCACTGTGAGTCCTTGAATTCTGAAGAGTCAGTGCATGTTCCTGATTGTGGTTCCAAACCTCATTTTGCTCACGGGAAACACCTATCTGCAGGTTGGTCTCGTGTAATGGTTCCAAAGCAAAATTGTAGTCATGAGTAGTAAACAGTTCAGTATTCTGTCGAGCTTCCATAAATTGCTCCTGCCTAAACGATATATCGTGGTTCCCCGCCATCATCAGCTAGTGATTTTTCATTTCATCACAGTAACAAAATCTTGGCCAACAAACACCAACCGGTACTGTCTTTTATAGACCTGCAAACAAGAAAAACAATGTATGAACACTACTAACATAAGACCTTGACAGAAGTGAGAATAACAAATAGTTCCTCAGGATTCAAAACTTAACACTAGTTTCCATATAAAAGGGAGCTATAACAATAAGCATAAGTCCCCAACTACCACCATCTCTGTTCTCTGTTGGGGATTTAGCCAACGAACAAGACATTAAACACCCTCGAGCCACCAAACCCAATTCGAAATTTCACAAATTGATCAGATAGACATGGATAAAAACAGAGATTCATGTACGAGAAAATTCAATGCTCGGAACAAATTGTACCCAAATTTGACAGGAAACAAAGAAAGGAGATTGGAAATCGAAACTTACGGATCAAAAGGGTACGGAGCAGAATCACCAAAGCGAAAGGGATTAGGTAGTTTCAAAGAGGAGGAATTTGGCGGGTAAAGCAAGAGAAGGAGGTTGAAGAAGAAAATCTGGACAAAGAACAAGGGCAAAGAAGGCCGACGAGATTTATTCTTCATGGGACAAAAAGGGCACCTTATTGTTACCTCACACTTTTAGGTTTTACAAGGGTATTTTCGTCATTTTCGTTTTCCCTTTTTGTAAGTTATAAAATAACACAATTACACGAGTCGTTTTTTTTTTTTTTTTCATCGGCTACACAAGTCGTATTATTGGACTTTTTCTTACTAGTAAATAGTAACTAACCACCGATTCGAGATAACTTGAGAAATACTAAAACCCACATATAATCCCAAAATGCAAAGACGAGATCAAGAGAAGTTAGGAGGAAGAAGAAGAAGAAGAAGAAGAAACCTTAGATCTAAGATCCCTTTAGCAAGTTTTAAGACAAGAAAAAAAAAATCACTTAAGCTAATCCTAGATTTTAAAGATGGTAGATGATCATCAGGCTGATATTCCGAACAGTGAGATGGTGCCATCGTCTCATGCAAAGTGTTCATCGATCCTACGTGTGGCCCATCACTGCCGTCGCACCTATCCTCGGATTGCTTACATATGTGAGTTTGGTAACAAATATACATGATATTGAATATTGATGATAACTTGCCCATATCTTCTAATATCTTGAGATGATTAATCTTTTGAGTGGCTTATTGATTCTATCAAGGTGTTCATGGTGCGCTTGAGGAGTCAAAAAGGATTAACCCTTTATTACTTGATCGTGGTGTTCCACAGTTTAGGTTTTCCCTTAACTGTTGGATCCAAAGGGTATTAACATTGTTATTGTCATTGTGCGTTTTGTTTCCTCAACATCCTCATCATGTTTTTTTTTTTTTTTTTTTTATACTTTGTGTAGAATGATGAAACAGGTGAACAAGGACAAATTCTGCCTAATACCGATGTACCTTATTTGCAAAATTTCTGTCTAGACTATTACGAGAAAACCATCGTAGCCTTGATCACGCCATTGGCATCAAATATTTGAAAGGTAGTGCCCCTAATCATCGGCAGATCTAGGAATAATTTTCTTCTCCTATATATATTCATATATTAATTAAAACAACAACATATATAAGTAACTAGCTTGCATCTTCTTCTACTACATTCATTTTTTGCAATCCATTCATTATTCTCTTATCTCTTTTCTTTTCAATAGACACACTAGAAAATCACTGAAAACCAAGTTTGTCTTTTTTTTTTTTTTTATAATGTATTTCACTATCCTTATTGCAATAGCAATTGATTCAACTTCAAGCGCATCCACCTCTCTCCCTAATGATAACCAAGCTTCCGCAATTTTCAATGTCAGAGCCGTCAGGTTTGTGCTTATTGCAAATATTGTTTGTTGAAATTTGCGTTTTTTTTCCTCATATATCTTTATTTCTCTACTTTTAGTCACATTACATGCTTTTATCTTATGTACTTTCAGTGATCAACTTATATATGCATGTAAAACTGCTTGTGTTCTCTTCAAAGTCTTGGAGCTTCTTTCGAAAGAAGCACAACATCCTCCTGAGGTAAATCTGATTATAATGGTATCTTTGGAGGAAATATACTGTTGCCTGAGTTAATATATTACCAAAATATCTTTTCACTTATTTTTTGTTTGCTACAGATTTTGGAAGCTTACACTGAGATCAAACAACTAGTCAAAATCTTTAGGCCTTACAACTTTATCCCCTACTTTGATTATAATGAAAATCATCCTATAAGGAGACTACCTGAGGTTATTCCAGATATTTGCTCCTTTTAATCAAATTGTTTTTTTGTTTACATATAGTTTGAGTCTAAAAAACCATTATATGCATACTAATATTTTGCAGTTGCGAGCTGCTATAAATGCACTTAATTACCAACCGTGGTCGGCAGCAAGTAATAAAATAAACGTGATGAAGACATAGACTCAGGGTTGTTAAAACGGGTTAATAACCCCTGCCCAGCTCGAGCCCTCGAAAGACCTGCCTGCCAAGAGTTCGAAATCGCGGGACTAGAAATTAAGACTGCGGATAAGCCTGATGCTCATCAGGTCAGCAGCCTACGAATATCCGAATTATTAATATTTATTCTTACAGTAAGCTTTCTAATTTTCTTAGTATTTTTTGTAATATTTATTCTAAAATTAGCTGATGAACTTAATAATCAAAACAATGTTATTTGACTATGTAAACACTGTGGTCTGTTTGATTTGTTTATACAAATGATTTCACAAGACAACATTCTTTGTTTTCTCAAACCTAAATTATATTTCTTACCTAGCTCCATCTCAAATAATTAAAGCATGGATAAGAACAAAAACACAACATTCGGATGTAAAAGCGCTTCATATCACATTTGTAAACAACATTCCACAAGAATGACTCTTTTGAATTCTAATTAATTTCGGATGACAAAAAAAAAAAAAAACAAAAACACAAGATTATTTAGACATATTTCTCCGCCTTTCTTTTTTATTTTCTTTAATAGGGAACTTGAAATCACAAGTTCCTACATACATTGAAGCATATATAGTGTACAAAGGAGAATAATGGAAATGTGAGATACTGTGATCCTTGAAAAGATGAAACAGAGCACACGTCTATTCTTATTTGCCGTAACAAAAGAAAGTAGTAGAAGAAATTTTATTATATTTCGGGTTTTGTCTCTTTCCTCGGTATGGTCGCTGGTTTGATGTCTAACCAATTGTTGTCTCATGAATCACCTTTCTCCATTTCAAAGATTTGCTGCGATTGATGAAGCAGGCAAGTTGTTCCTTGGCGGAAACTTAATATCCTCCCATCCCTCCTCTCCCTCCACCCTCTCAAAGTACTGATCTACCATGCTATCCTTCACGTCCTCTAGTCGCCTTGGCTCCCACTAAAAATTTCATCAATACAACATTATATCAAAAATATGACATAATTAACAACAAATAATAAATTGAGAGATTTGTTAAACCTTTGGGTTCCTATCTTTGTCTATCAATATGGCTCTGCACCCCTACATAAGTAAGACACGTTTTTGTAATTATTGTCTACAAATGACAGTTTCAGGATGAAGATACAATCGGAAAAGCTGACAAAACCTCCATAAAGTCTTTGCTTAAATCTCCCTTAATCACATGACACACCATTCTATACTCACGGGTAAAACACTGTCCCACACCTTGAAATCTTCCTTCTCTTATCTGAAATTTGTACATAGAGTCATCTCTTTCCCATGATAACTATAGGGGCCAGCCAGTGCGAGGGTGCGACCGTCCCATATCTATTGATCAGTACTGTTCAAAAAATATATTTTTGTGCAAAGACACTCTTAAAAAGAAAAACTTGTGGGTAATAAGGACCCAAATAAACAAATTTATGTATAAAAAGGGTCCAAAAAAATATGTTGTGAGCAAAAAGAGATCTATAGAATTTACTTTATAAGTTACAAGTTTAAGGGCTTATTTTTAAATTTTGCCCTAGGGCCCTTTAAATGTTTAAACCGGCACTGATTGTTTGTGACACATTTTGGGAACTAACCGATCTAAGAGTGATTTTAAGGCATGATGGCGAAGCTTTCTCCAATGCTTGAATGGTAGCTAAGATCCAATCGTCCGGTTCTTGAGTGACCTCTCTCTCCTAACCAATACAGAATGGTAGAGTGCAATGTCAAGGTAACTCAGTGACCTCATGCTCACAACTCGCAAGTCAACATATCCTCTATATTGATGAAAAACTTACAAGTTCAGATATAATTTCCTCCACTTTTCTTTTCGAGAAGCACCTATCAATAACATCTAACCTGCTTAACGGAAACAAATTAAGATCCTCTCAATAGCAGTTGAAAGATGACACCAATACAAGGTTGCATTCTTTTTATAAGAAAAACATGTAAAGTAATCATGATCAATAACAGAGGAAACGTTTTTGAACATGACCTAGAATGCTTGCGATGTTGGCATGACAAAATATGTAACACACTTGCCTGTGGTAAGCACTCTGCTGTCTCAGGTGCGGATACTCAGTGTATGCATCGAGAATTGTTGAGACAATTGTTTGATCACTTGAACCAACTTTGCAAAGATCTGCTTCTAATGCAGTCAACCTCTGTGAAAAAAGAAGTAACCTTACCAATTAACGATCCTCACGAGTTTTAACGAAAAATTAATTTTTTTTTTAAAACACTAAAACCATATATTATTATATTTAAAATTATTTATTGTTAAATATTTTATTGAATTTTGTTATATTATACAATTGCATGACTTTGAACCAGAAATATCATAGTGTATTAGTTTGTCGAAATATCGAATATTAATATATAGATGTTTTGCTATATAAGAAAATATTACATGAGTTTATACTTTTCAAATCGACGTAGCCTCTACAATGGAGAATATAATACTATAGATGTCAGCAAAGGAAGTTCATACCGTTGAAGGCACAAAATGAGTTGCAAGACCACAAGCAAGCATATCGGGGCCATCTAACCTAGCTCCTGTAAGGCCAACATACTCTCCTGAAAAGAAGACAGGAAGGTTGAGAGAACCAGAACTTTTTTGGGCATGCAAAAACAAATTGATTTGTGTTACCAAAAAATCCAGGGAGCCTTGACAAGAAGTAAGAGGCCCCTACATCTGGAAAGTGCCCTAGAGCTGTCTCAGGCATTGCAAAAACCTTGAAGAAACTCAAAAGATATGAGCATATATATATATATATATATATATATATATATATATATATATATATTTCAAAGCCATATATCATCCATGGACATCATGACATGTATAAGAAAAGAATACCGTGTTCTCAGTTGCAATACGAAATCGACCATGGGTAGAGAGACCAGCTCCGGCTCCCATGACAATACCATTCAAAATTGAAACCTATAATTATTAAAAAAAGAATTAATGAGGTAATTATACACTTTGAGAAATTATTAAAGGGACAGTATGTATGATGAGACTGGAGACCTGAACTTTTCTGTAAGTGGCCGAAACATAGTTGGCCATGTATCCAACATTAAAGTAATCGGCACCGCGTCTCCATTTACCTAGTCCACGAAAATAGCGAAAGAATGTGTAGAAGCTGAAAGTAAGAAAAAAAATAAAAGAAAGATATTGAAATACCTTGTAGGATATCACGAACAATAGGTGGAATGTCACCACCAGCACAAAAGGCTCTTCCTTGACCCTGTTGCATAGTTATAAAGTTTTTGCAAACAGAAAATATAATAAGGATAGGGATTACCTTTAAGATGACAAGTTTCACACTAGGGTCTTCTTCATATGCAAGGTATAGTTGCAACAACCGAGAGATCTAGAGACGATTGGTTCAAACGAATTTATATGTAACTATGGCACGTACGAAAAGGAGTAGGAAACAACAAGGGAACGATTCAATACCATGTTGAAGGACAGAGCATTCAGCTGCTTGGGTCTGTTAAATGTCAAGATTCTAACACTCGATTTCTCTTCCACCAAAACCTGTGACCAAACTGATTTAGAAGTGAAGAAATGACAGTTGTCGATTTGCAGAAAAGAAGAGAAAACAGACCTGAGAGTGAGAGGCCATTTTCTTCTTCTTCTTCTTTTTTTCTTACAGTTTTCATTCACCTTTGTATATCCTCCCGGACATATATATAGGAAAAATATTTTGTTTTTGTTTTTTTGTTGTTAAAATAAATTTTAAAAGTTTTTATTTATTTTTTGGTTGATTAATAAATCTCGTTTTTATGCAAACAAATATATGAAAATTTTAATAATTATCATGAAGACACAAGTATGAAAATCTGAGTGTCTCACACTCATCCACTAGCAACTTTAAAGCTTACATAAGAAACCGCTAAAGCACACATAAGAAACCTATAATAAAAGTCCAAAAATCCATGTAATTAGGGTTTCTTAATAAGTAGATTAATATATATCGTGAATCATCAATAGAGTAACTTAAAGAATTGTCGCTTTGTGCAACTCTCTTTTTTCATCGTTTCAAGATTAATATCAATGAAAAAGAATATCATAGTTTGGTAATTCTCTAAATCAATTTTTCCTTCTTTTTATTGCACCTAATTAATAAAGCTTTAATGAACTATAATCTATCTCATTAAGCTCTAAAAGCTAGAATCTAATTTTCCTACTTATATCAAATCACATTCCACAATCTACACGTTTTTATAGGGGTTGAAACTTGTCAGCTCATACCTGACCTACAAGAGAGCTTTGGCTTAATTTCAAATTCCTATTATTGCATCAATAAGATACGACAACATTGACAGTACTACATATGCCTAACCTTTCTAACTTTCGTCATGATCGGTTTTCCTTTGTTTTCTTAAACATATAGTTTTTATTTTCTCTCAGTTTAGTTAGAAATATTTAATTTATTTTATAGTCGACCCATCTTTTCACTTGCAGTTTTTCAATGAAACAAAAATTACGTCGTGAAATGATAAAATGTCTTTATATATCTTTTCCTTTTTTCCATTCATTTTCCTGTTTTTGGCCGTTGGATTGATGCGTGCCCACCGACAAATAGAAAGGTGGTTTCGCTATTATGGTTCTTTTAACATTGACTTTTGCTAGTATGGTTGAAAAAAGATAGATTCTTATTTGGTATATTATATCTGAATTATTTTTGTTAGTTGTAAAATAATTATATCAAGTGGTTGTAAATCTTATCCGTTGTTTGTTTCGGTCAGAATATATATTTACTAAAAATGAGTTTACTACAAAACTAAGAAATAAAAGAAAACGCATCACAAAGCCAGACCGATCGGTCTAAGAGAGGACCGATTAGTCCGACCGAGTCTATGCCATATGTCGTCTTTAAACCAATCAGTCTAGGAGAGGACCAATCGATCCGACTGATTTTATGCCATCCGTCAGCTATCCGACCGATCAGTCCAACCGTCTTGGCTCCTCGCTTCAGCTTTGATCGCCCAACAAGCTCGAAACCATCCCATCTTAGCAAAAGTACCTAATACATATACAAGACTCAAGACGCAACCAAAAAAGCACCAAAGACGAACTTTGACACGACAAATGAACCAAAATGACTACTAAACATAGGACAAAAGACACCAAAAATACAACATATCAAAAGGTTCGAGCTAGTATAAAAATGAGAGGAATGTCATCAAGGAGAATAATCTTCTTCCACACAAAAACCCTAGCTAGCAAGTTACATGTGTACTATACAATTTCTTTGTATTCGTCATACAGTTCATCTTTAATACACAAGTTTTTCTTTGTTTCCTTTTATTTTCAGTCATTCTTCTCTATGGAGTTATCAAGAAAGATTAATTCCAATTTATACTTATATTCACACCATCATTGGAACCGGATCTTGCATCCACAATGTGTGTTTCTCTTAATACCACAAATAGCGACCCGGATTAAAATCAAAATATGTGATGAATGAGTGGTTTGGATACTATAAAGTGGTTTGAATCAAAAATACAATGAAGGCTCTAATATTACATGGAACCTCCAATCAAAGCATGTGTAAGTACAAGAATACAATAGTTCCGTAAGAAAAAATCTGAGCCTTGATTTTGTTTTCTTTTATTTTCAATAGAAAACTTGGAACCATAAGTTCCTACATACATGAGAGTAATTACATAAAGGGAAAGTAGTGGAAACATGAGATATTAAACTCCTTGAAAGGAGGAAACAAAGCATGTGTATTCTTATTTTCTACAACAAAAGAAATAAAAGAAGAATGGTTCAGACACATAATCTTGGTTAGGTCATTGGTTTAATGTCTGGCTAATAACCTTTTCCACTTCACAGCTTTGCTGCAATTTTTGAAGCACGCAAGTTGTTCCTTGGCGAAAGCTTGAGATCCTCCCATCGCTCCTCTTCCTCCAGTACTCTCTCAAAGTACTGATCTACCATGTTGTCCTTCATGTCCTCTAGTCGCTTTAGCTTCCACTATAATTTCAACAATACAACATTATATCAACAATATGACATAACAAAAAATACTAAATGGAGAGATTTGTTAAACCTTTGGATTCCTATCTTTGTCTATCAATATGGCTCTGCACCCCTGCATGAGTAAGACACGTTTTTTTTAATTATGTTCTACAACAAGAACAGTTTCAGGATGAAGATACAATTGGAAAAGCTGACAAAACCTCCACAAAGTCTTTGCTTATGTCTCCCTTCATCACATGACACACCATTCTATACTCACGGATAAGACAATGCCCCACCCCTTGCAATCTTCCTTCTCTTATCTGAAATTCATACACATAGTTTAGCTCTGTGCAGTTATTGCATGTAACACATTTTGGGAACTAACCGATCTAAGAGAGATTTTAAGGCTTGATGGTGAAGACTTCTTCAAAGCTCGAATGGTAGTTAAGATCCAATCATCTAGTTCTTGAGTGGCATCTCTCTCCTAACCAACACATGGTAGAGTGCAATGTCAAAGGTGACTCAGTCAACTTAGGATCGCAAGTCGACATATCCTATATATTAATGAAAACCTTACAAGTGCAGATATAATTTCTTCCATTGTTCTCTTCGAGAAGCACCTATCAATAACATCTAATCTGCATAAAGAATTTTTTTTTTCCATTAAAGATCTAGTTAAACATGGATCCTGTGAAGAGCGATTGAAAGCTGACACCAATACAACTGAAGGTTGATATTTATAAAACATGCAATGTACTGATCATGATCAAATAACAGAGAAAATGTTTTTTCGCACATGACCTAAAAAGCTTGCGATGTTGGCACGACAAAAGATATTTGACAAAATCATATATACTTGCCTGTGGTAAAGACTGTTCTGTTTAAGGTGCGGATGCTGAGTGTATGCATCAAGAATTGTTGAGACAAAGCTTGGATCACTTGTACCAACTTTGCAAAGATCTGCTTCTAGTGCTGTCAACCTCTGCGAAAAGGAGTAAACTTTACTCAAGTAACAATCCTTGGCGAAGCAAATAGTGCTAAACCAATCGTAGCTAAAAAAAAAAATCTGAAGTGTAAAAGTCTTTCCATAATGTCAATGGAAATAGAGACACTAAGAAAATTTACAGATGGCAAGTTTGGTTATTGACACTTATAAGTTATAACACTCATCACAAACCATCAAGTCGGAAAAAAATAAGCACTCTGAATAAGACTTTTCCAAAAACATATAACTATAGTGTAATACACGACATCAAAATTTCAAACAGTTTTTGGCAAATAAAATGCTAATCAAGAGGATGAGTTTGTTAAAGAGCATTCCTATATATGTCCAAGGTGCGAGTTCAACTAACAACAAACAAAAAGTTTTGCATCGGCAGCTTCATAGTCCATTAGTTCCAAAGAAATGAAAAATAATGACATTCTCGTTTTTAGCATATATTTTGTCAAGTTATATTATCAATGGAGTGTGGATCCGTGCCTAGCTCCTCTAATAGAAGAGAGGGCAAATGCCCAAAGCAACATTTAAAAACAAAAGAATTAGAGGCCACAATATAAAATTAATTATGTCATCGATTCTTTAATTATAATACTACATTATTTGAATGGAAATTTTTTATAATTTGAAACACATGCATCTTGCTAGTATATATTATTATAGTATATAGTAAGGTAAAAAAAAAAATTAAAAACCAAGAAACTACATGTTGCTAAATAAGGCCATTTGCCGTAAGCGACCAAAAAGTTATAAATTCAAAGGCTACATTTTTCTAAAGGTTTGGCTTCGTATTTACTTTAAATTGTGTGTTTGAACTCTTTCTTTGAAAAACACATACCATTAACATTTATGTAATGAACTAGTTCTCGTTTAGAATGGAAAAGTTTATACTTTCTTTTATTTCGAAAGCCATATTTTTTTCTTTCTTTTATGTAAATTTGAATGTAGAGGTTACATTTTTTAAATTCGCCTGAAGCATCTATAAACCTTGGCATGACTCTGCGTTAACGTTTAAGTAACAAATATATTGTGCTTTAGTTTTCAATATCAAAATTTTATTTCGAGACAATAGTATGATTATGTTTTTCAAAATTTTTTACAAGAGCCCGTACATGCCGGCAATGGGGAATACTAAGACGTAAGCAAAGGAAGTTCATACCGATGAAGGCACAAAATGAGTTGCAAGACCACATGCAAGCATTTCAGCGCCATCTAACCTAGCTCCGGTGAGGCCGACATACTCTCCTGTGAGGCCAACATTTCATGCATGAAGGATGAGATAACTAGCTAGATAGGCTGGAATTTTGTGGACTTGCACAAACAAACGAATATTGTTACCAAAAAATCCTGGGAGCCTTGACAAGAAATAGGAGGCGCCTACATCTGGAAAGAGCCCCAGAGCTGTCTCCGGCATGGCAAAAACCTTGGAGAAACTCAAAATATATGGAAGTGACATGAGCATATTTCAGAGAGATATCTATATATTTTTCATCCATACATGGACATGTTTAAGAAAAGAATACGTACCGTGTTCTCAGTTGCAATGCGAAATCGACCATGGATGGAGGCACCAGCTCCGGCTCCCATGACAATACCATTCAAAATTGAAACCTATAATTTGAAAACAAATCAATGAGCTTATATACTTTTAAGTATATTCTAAAAGCACAGTACGTGTAGTGAGACCTGGGGTTTGCTATACGTGGCCATAACATAGTTGAGCGTGTATTGATCTCTGA